CCTCGCCGGCGCCCGGGCTCCCCGCCGGCCGGCTCCTCCTCCGAACCCACCCACCGCCGCCCCGCCCCTCTCAGGGCGGTGCCCCCTCCCAGCCCAGCCCCTGCCCTCCCGCGCCGCCCCTTCCCCAAGCCGCGCGGCCCGGGAGGGTGGAAAAGTGGGGCGGGAAGTTTGGCCCTCGGCCCAGCCCCCAGGGTCTGAGGAGGAGAATGCAGTCCGGGAACCACTCGGGCCGGCGGGGCACTGGTCCTGCCCGGTGCCCAGCTCTAGGCATCCAGCCGGAGGCGCTTGGGGGGCTCAGGGCGGCCCAACAGCGTGCGAGACCGCGGCCTGGTCATCCCGAATCGGCTTCCAGCGGGTAATCTTGCGCACACCCTGAGTCGTCAGAAAGTCCCACGGGGGCTGCTGGGGGAGTGGTGGGCTGGGCCAGGTGCAAGCCCGGCGGGGGGCTGGTCGCTGTGCTTTCCTGGGGCTTGCGCACGCCTTCCAATGGACCCGGTTGATCCCCGCAGAAACCCACAGCCAGGCTCCTGAGCCCTCGCGGAGCGCGTCACTGGTTCCCGTTAGCGCAGTTCCGGCGCCCGGCAGCCCCCTGCGACCCCCCTGCAGGTTCTACAGGTAGCGGGCGTCCCCGAAACCTCCAGGGCTCTGCCAAGCATCTAGGAGGGCAAACGGCCGATTGGATTTGTGGGGGGCTGAGATGGTGGATTCGCAGACGCAGCTCTCATGATGACTGTCCTCCCATGGGTCGGCCACGTCCGGATTCCAAAAGAAAATCCCATAAGCGTGTCCACAGAGCCCTGGGCCGTTACTCCTCATGTGGTGAAGAGGGAAACTCATTCTTTTATCCGCAAACGTAAATCAGCTTGTGGATTTTATTCTGTAGGCAATGGGGCGCCAGTGAGGGCTGTAAGTGGAACATTGTGATGAGATTTGGGATCGTTGTAAGACTGCTGGTGGCAATGTGGAGGTGGGTTGAAAGGAGGCAGGAGGCCGCTGTGGAAAAGGAGAGGAAGGCACAAGTGCTGGGGGACTCAGAAGGTGGACTTTAGAAAGTGGGTGTGTCCAGTGAGGGAGGGAGGACTGGGGAGGCCTCCACTGGGTTGAGAAGTTGAGTAGATGGTGGAGGGTGATACCATTTGGGGAGATGCTCCTGCAGGTCTGCTCTGAGCTTGTTTTAGGATCTGTGGACCTGAAGAGGCATTGGGACATCCAGGAGTGGGGATGGACAGGCGGCTGTGGGGTTTGGGTCACTGTGTGCCCTGGAGCTGAAGCCATAGGGAAGATGTGATGACTCTTGAGCAGACCAAAACAGTGTTTACATGGAGCAAGAGCCAGAGGAGACTGAAGGTTGTGAGCAGAGGAGTGGGAGGAGGCCAGGCATTTATTACCCCATCCGCTAAGGGGAAGAGGTGTTTAAGGAAGTGGGGGAGGGTCCACTGGGTCAAAGGGAGGTGGGTGTGAACACATTCAGGCTGCATGCTCCAGGAGATTGCCTACTAGTTTGGGAGAAAAGACAAACACACAGGGAGAAATGTGTAAGTAACTTTCAAAGAGGGGAAGGGGCTATGGTGGTTCAGTGATATAATTCCCACCTTCCATACGCAGCCACCACCCATCAGATCCCCAACCAATCACGGAGATGGCGCAGGACCGTGCAGAATTTGCAGCGTTTTGTTCTGTTGTACATGGGGTTTCCATGAGTCGAGGGCTGACTCCACAGCAGCTAACAATAGCAACACAATAACAAAGGGGTCACACAGTATTAGTGAACAAGATGGGAATCATCCCCTCTGGTTTCTACCTCCAGTTGTCCATCTGTAAGCCTGCAGTTCACCTACCGCCTACTGCCACCCACTTGCCCCTTTCCTTCATGTCTCTGTCTCTCTCATAACTTTGGTAATAAGAAGGGAGGGTGAGCCAGCCCAGCTCTGTTTCTGTGTGTATGCATGATGGTAAGTTCTTCCTGAGCCAGGTTTCTTCCTCTTTCTTCTACAGGTTGCAGATTTACAACCTGCTCTAGAGAATTTCCCTCAAATCCAACAGGAGTGCAAGGAGGTGGGAAAGTTGGAAAACAACCCTAATTCTCCTGAAACTAGGACCCAAGGGAAGGAAGGAGAAGTCTCCCCCACTTTCCCTCCTTGAGATGATGGCCACAGAAATCCAGAAGCCAGGGTAGGCCTGACAGTAACACTGTGAAGTCAGCAAAAGCCCATCTCCCTCCCCCATTTCATGCCCTTAACTCTCTTTCAGAGCCTGTCCAAGGGCCTGGAATCCTATGGTGCCCACCTCTCTATTTAATAATTTTATAAACAAAGTCACCATAAGAAGGGAGCCTGGCAGATGGGAGAGGCAGTGGTTAGGTTTAAGAAGATACAGCAAAGGGGCCAAACCAAACCTACTGCCGACTCATGGAAGAAGATTGCCACATCTTTCTCCCGAGGAACTGCTGGTGGATTTGAACCACTTTTTGGTTAGCAGCCGACTGCTTTAACCACTGCACCCAAGTGCTCCTTCAGGAAAGGGGCAATGTTTAACAAATGAAAAGGGGGGCACATTCCCAGCACCAGTGGAGGGGGACCATTTTGTGCCAGGGAGTGCTCATACCCCATGGGCACACACAGCCACGATTTCACCTACTGAAAGAATAACTTTGTGGGGACCTCTCTGAGGAGCATCAGACATCCTCAAATCGAGTGTGGTAGAGGAAGGCACCTTTGGGGTGCCCACAGGGGCCCTCCTAGGCATAGCTTTGTCAGAATCCTTCTTTCCCATCAGGTACAGCCCTGTGCTGGGGGTGGGGGTAGGCAGTGATTGGCATCACAGTCTCCATCATTTATTGAGCACTTACTGTGTGCCGGGTATGTGCCTGGTATTTTTCAAGAGGATGGAGACCTTCCTGTCCTTAAGTAATTTTCAGACTTGTAAACACTGCATTGCCAGCGAGAACAGGGTGTCAAGGGAGCACAAAGGGATGTTGCCTCAGGCTGGATGAGGGCAAGAACCAGGACAAGCTTCTCTGAGGAGGGGAGCATCGAGAAGTGGGGATTCGAAGCAGGGGGAGAAGTGTGCACAAAGACTGGGCACTCCCGTGGAACTTCCTGGCCAGAAGGAGGACCAAAGCCTGGCCCTACTGAGCAGTGGCATGGAGTGCATGTTGGGAGATGTGAGGGGTGGCGGGTATGATGCGGACCGCAGATTAGGCTGTTAAATGTGGCACCTGTTGGGCAGATAGAGTCTTCTATGCCAGGCTCGGGACGGGAAGCTCTTGAAGGTTTTCGGGGTGGTGGGGGGACATAAGCAAATAAGTATTTCAGGAAGATTGTACTGATGACAGCACAAAAGCTGGTTGGAGGAAGGGAAGGAGGAGCTGGACGATGGTACACGGTTGAAGAAAGGGCCTTTTTTAAGATGGAGAGGCCTGATTATGTTTAAATATTGCTAATAAAGAACTTGTAGAGGGGGAGAAGTTGAAGATGCAGGTGAGAGAGAATAACAGATGAAGTGAGCCTCTGAAAAGCAAGAGGAGGAGGGGGTACAGGGAGCAGGAGTAGAGATTAGGCTTAAATAAGAGGAGGAAGCAACTTCTCCTGTGATGGATGGAGAGGAGGCAAAGGTGGACCCCACAGAGAATCTATGAAACTCCCTCACAAATGCCAACCCACATCTAAAACTTCAGTGATTAAAAGCTCAGTCAAAAGATTATGTGAAATCTTCATGGTGGATACACAGGTTTTTGTTATATTATTCTTTGTACTCTATGTTTGAAATACTTTATAATAAAAAGGCCTTATGAAGCCTCAGTATTATTACTACTATGATTAATGTTTGGAGCCCTGGTGGTGCAGTGGTTAAACTCTCAGCTGCTAACTGAAAGATTGGTGGTTTGAATCCACCAGCTGCTCCATGGGAGAAAGATGTGGCAGTCTGCTTCTTTAAAGATTACAGCCTTGGAAACTCTATGGGGCAGCTCTGCTCTGTCCTGTAGGGACACTCTGAGTCAGAATTGACGTGACGGCAACAGGTTTATTATTACTGTTTAGATAAAATTATCTGAGGGAATTAAAATGATCAGTTATTAATGTATACAGCCCTATTCCCCAAGAATCCTGTATATACGTGTGTCCCAAACTGTCAGTGCTGCTGGGGTCCAGAGAAGGATGAGATCAACACTAGACTTCCTAGAGAGCTCCCCAGCCTCTGAGCAAGGGTCCTGAGCCAGGCCATGAGCTGGCCAACCAGGCTCAGTCTTCCCCAACCATCACAATCCCCCATTCCCAGGATGGCCTTCTCTCAATCTGGCTGCAAGGGCTCACTGTCCATTCCAGTCAGGTACAGGATTAAAAAGGAGACAGTTTTAGGAAACTAAATTTCCTTCTCATACCAGGAAAATCCTCTAGTTGCCTCTAGCCACTGGCTGCCTCATTCCCTGAAGTCAGGAATAAGGCCCTTCTGAGCAATGTAGTTGCCTCTCAGAGACTGGCCCTGGGGCACAAGGGAGGTCCAGAGTCTGGACATGCATATGGCTCATCCATTACCCCACACATCTAGGGCTGGAATGTCTGGGCCTCTCCTGGGTTTGTGCTCAGGGCTGCATTAGTAAGGACATGGCTGTACTGGAGAATAAAAGCCAGCTGGTAAATATCCCATCCTCTAAAATTTTCACTTTATCTCCACCCACAGACTCTTCTAGCAGCTTCAAAGAAATGTCAGAGACAAACTAGACAAAGAGAATGCAGTTTTTGAACATCTTTCA